TACGTGTGGTACTCTACATATTTAATAGATTCCTAGGCACTTATCACCCTCCTCACGCAAATTAACTACAAAGCATTTTATTGGCAAGCTCGGATAAGCACTTTACCTCCCGGTTGCAAGGTTAGGTTAGAATTTCGATGCTGTGATGCGTGAGGGTATTAGCTGAAAAAAAACGTTAGCTTGCTATTGTGAATACCCCTTAATCGCCTCGGTCCTCAAACTATACTTGTTACATGATTGTATATATATAAACATTGTGACGACACTTTTTAACGGTGACGCACAAATAAATGGCACCGCGAGAAATAATTAATGAAATACTAAATTATTGGACGCCAGGTGTAACCAGAGTTACACCGCTGTCTCCTAAGGACACCCTGGCCGGCTCTTATGCGGGGGGGTCCTGGGTCTGGGAGACAATAATCAAAATCTGAAAATTAGAGAGGTTCACTCTAAAAATTACTGAAAACGACAAACTATCGGAATCAAAATCCGGGGACGGATCCGATTTATTTTAAATAGAAAATATAAGAACCAGATGATGAAATACAAATGATAAGTACAGAAAACTGATCGAGATGATGCATAACACACTGGGATATTTACCCGAACGATATTATACAATAATGTTCTCGCTGGAACAACGCAACATACAATACGATATAACAAACGGTACGGTAACGATAATAAGCGGTACGATATTGACTCACGCACCTATGTGTTAGGGAGACGATTCCGCGAGACGTGGACTGAACGGTTAGACACAAAACCGGAAAAATTGAAATAATGAAATGAGAGACCGATCTCCTGTTTGTCACCGGATTAGCTAACCTTGGACCCTTAGCGGTCAGGAAAGCGCAGGATGACGCGTAAGAGTACGTCGAACAGAAAAGATCGGTTGATCCCGTGAATTATTAAAAAAAAATAGCCAGAATACCCCTGAGCGTCACTCACCGTTGTCCAGTAGCTCCTACTATTGTCAGGAATACACTCTTCTGGATTATAGTCCCTTAAACGGATCACGATACGATACAATAAATACAAAAATCGGTAGAAAACGATAGCACGTCTATCCCTAAGTTTGGCCACGCCGTGAGTGACGCTACAAATTTCCAAAATCGGGAACCTTCCTGAGAGCGCGCTGTAATACCACCCCTTGGTCCAATCAGGTTCGCTGTTACATCGGCTCCGCTAGCCGCCTCGCGATCTTCAATTGTTTTAACGATCCCGGTAAAATAGATCCTGGCATCTTGCTACGATAGGATGGCTGCAGTGCCGTTTCCGGAAGGCGGGGATCACATCCACCGATATTCTCTCTCGATATTCGGCGTCACGCCACTTCTGCAACTCCTGTATGCCCTTTGCTTCTGAAGATGCTCGCCGCTTGCTTCGCGTAGTTGAGCCACTAGGTTGTGTGCTCCGGTCTTGACGTCACCTCTCCTCTACAGCGCTACGCCAGGCCCGTAGTTGGCTCTCTCTCGGGCCCCGTCTCAATACAAATTGTGTAGAATCCTCTCGGATCCGCTTAATAAACTCAAAAAGAAACGAAACGTTCCCCACAGGGAAATAAATACAAATTCTTAAAATAAAATCAGTCCAATGCCACGCGAAACGCTCCGCAACCCATCCGGCCCCACGACGTAGCCGAATTCGCCTAATTTTGTGACGTGCATCAAAATGCCACGTCTTTTTTCACTTTATACCTTTTTACTTTCCCTTTTCCTTGCAAAATAATTCTCTACCGTTCACTCACACCTCTCACACACTGTGTTTCGGAAACGGAAGTCGCCTATAGAGATAAAGATAATACAGTATTAAATTAAGTACGAACTATTAAGTACGAATAATTAAGTACGGAACAACGGTTCCTCAATAACCTAGAAAGCGTGAATAATAATAAAATCGAACAACGGTTCTATTAGAAAGGCCCATTGGGCCCCACTAGACTTACCGCGAGGGAGCTAGCCCCGACCGATAAACCGACGAACCCTCGAGCGTCATTCTTGCGACGACAACAGTCTTGGCCGGTGGTTTCGCTTCAATCAGAAAGACAAAAGAAGATCGTATCGTTGTATCCAGCACTTGTATCGTTCACGGTAAGCGTCTCGACGCCCAGAAGGACGAAATCTTGAGTACTCTGTGCGTAGTGGGCCTTAGTCCCTTTATAGTTTCGTAATTATCCTCCCGGTTTCGACCGAGGAGCCGATCGCGTTTCGCCAGAGGAAAATATTCCGTGCCTTAGCTTAAACTTTTATATTATCTCTTATTAAGCATGTTCCTTATCAACTTTCTCGGCGACCCTGGATCGTGATCGTAAGAACCCATGAACTACGCTTCCCGTACGTTCATGCAATTGAACCTCGGAATAATTATTTAGCGACATTATCTTGAACCTGTTACTTTTAGGTATTACTCTTTCTATGTTGTATGGTCTCTTACGTTTTCTACTCTCTACGATTCTGTGTGAAACCTTCTTACTCGCGTGATCCTGGTACTCGAAAGTTCTAATTGACAATATCTGCGTGAACCATACTCCGCCTACCATTCGTTCGTCTGTCTAGCTCGCGCGTTGCGTGCATCGTGCAGAACGTATCGTGAATTCACGGCCGCGGATAGCGGAAATCCACGTTTCTTTTCGAACGACAAATTGTACCGCGGGAGCACATCGTTGCCTCGAGACCTGTAGGTCACGGGATTAGAGTGTATCGTAGGCCGAATTATTTCTCTTTGTTTCACGTGTCTCTCAAGGACCTTTTAGCTATCGTGTAAACTTGTTCTTATCGTATTTTGTTCGCGTGTCCCGTATGGGACCTCGTCTCGCGCGGTATTATGTTACCGAATATTTATATTCGCTATAGGTTATTTGATTTGTTAATTGTTACTTTGATAAGTCCTAATAAAAGGGCCCCCTTGTTATTTGTTACTGAATACCTTGCGGTTTCTCAACCTTCTTTCTTTACCACCTGTGCGTTCCCCGCCCCTTTACCATATCTTTCCGTTTCTTTCCTACTAGCCGGAGTCCTCTTAATTTTCTCGGGAGTTTCGCGTGTTACGTGACGCAACGCTGCGTCTGGCGCCCATTTGGCTTTTCATATTGTACCAATTTTCTCCTTGCGTTTTCCCGGGAAAACTTTAGAGTCTCGTCCCTCACATTTGGGGTGCGATCGGATCGTCTTGCTACGAGGCGGTTTGAGGAATAAATTCACGTCACAATATATATATTGTGACGATGAATCGCACAAATAAATGGCACCGCGAGAAATAATTAATAAAATATTAAATTACTGGGTGCCAGGTGTACCAAGAGATACACCGCTGTCTCCAGAGTATACCCCGGCCCGCTCTTGTGCGGTGGGGTCCTGGGTCTGGGAGACAATAACTAAACCTGAAATTTTACAATAACTACAAGACAACACAAAAGGGGCTTTGAGAAATTAAATAGACCTGAGATTTCGTTTAAACATACGGAACCCATAGACGGGCCCGATTTATTAAAAACAAGAAAAATAAGACGAAATATAAAAATAAGATAATGTAAATGTGTAATAAGGAAACGGAACAACGGTTCCTCAATAACCTAGAAAGCGTGAATAATAATAAAATCAAACAACGGTTCTATTAGAAATGAAAGAATTAATAATTTCACAAGCGGAAAATATTGCAATACAATTTAGAAGAACTACAAGTGCCCAAAAAAATATGTTCCACGAAGGAGTGAAAATGTATAACGCGTTACCAACAGAGGTCAAAAGTTGTGAAAAACGGATAAAATTCAAAAGAATGTTAAAGTAGTTTATTGTAAGTACAATTAATTAAGTGCATTATAAACGTATGTAGAACAATGTAAACAATGTACAACAAATAGCTGAAAAGGCTAATAAACATCAATCAATCAATCAATCAATTTCTCTTTTTATCTCTCTCACTCTCACTCACTCACTTACTCACTCACTCACTCACTCCTCCTCCTCCTCCTCCTCCTCCTCCTCCTCTCCTTCCCTTTCCCCCTCCTGCCCCCGTTCCTTATCATTATATATACCAGGTACTTGAATTCCTTCACTTCCTCTATGCTCTTCCCTTTCCATCTCTAGTCCATCTTCTTCCATCTCCCTCCTCCTTTTCTAAACCTCATTATCTTCATTTTTCCCGTTTTCAGTGTTAACTCTCTTTTGTCCATATATCTCTCCAATCTTCTAATTATCGCTTCCATTTCCTACTCCTCCTCTGACAATACCACCACATATGCTAGCGTATACACTATCTCCTCTCCTAATTCTAACCCTCCCACTCTTCCCTTCTTCATTTCCTCCTCCAAGTCCGCTATTAACAGTATAAATAGGTGCGAACTCAGCGGGCTCCCCTTACTCCCTCTCTGTCCAAAAATCTTCTCCTACCTCCTCTCCTACCTTCACCCTACTTATCGCCTCTTTGTATATTTCTTCTATCCTTGTTCTTAATTCACCCGTAACCATTGTCATTGTCATCCGTAACCTTTCCCTGTTCCTTTTTTCTGCTCTCCACCCATTTTCCTTCCTCCTTTTCCATTTCTATACTTTTTCTTAGCTCTGCCTTACCGACATCCTTCGTATGACACCCCACCTCTCTTCTTTGCCGCTAGCTGTCTCTCCCTATCCCACTTCGGTATTATCTCCTCCCTGCTTGCCCGTGTTTTCCTACTTGACCTCTTCTTACCTCTGTCTCCTTACTCTATCCTTTTCTTCTTTCTCTTCTCTCCCTTCACTTTTCTTTTTTTTACCTCTCCCTTCTTCGCCACTTCCCTAACCCTTCACCCCTTTTTTCACTTTACACCTTTTTACTTTCCCTTTTCCTTGCAAAATAATTCTCTACCGTTCACTCACACCTCTCACACACTGTGCTCCGAAAACGGAAGTCGCCTATAGAGATAAACATAATACAGTATTATTCGTAGATTAACCGTTTTAATTTGATCACTTAACTCAAATTTGGGTTCTTTCTGTCCAGTGTCTTTAATTTGATAATGATATTTGATTTTTAATTATAAAGCTTTTCTTGTTGTCACAACGAGATGCATTAAAACGTAGTAGAAAAGTCATCACTTTAATAGGTAATGTATGGAAGAAACATAAGCTCCATTTATTATACAAATTAATACTTTCAATAATTCAGTTTCTGTGTTATAGGCAATCGAACTGAGATCGCAATTTAAAAAATTGAAATCGCAACTCTTAATGCAAAACCACAGATCATCCATAATTACAGGTGTGTATAAAGTAATTCTAAATGTAAAATTTATAAAATATTAACAATTCATATATTTTGTAGTAGCAAAACGTACTTAGGTTACATGATTTTTAAATATAAATGATTAAATATAAAACTTACCTTTCGGTAGGTACAGGAACTCATCTTTAACTCCTTGACGGTGGAAGTTTGGAAATGCCTCAGAGATGTCGCCATACCTCTGATGCTGTGACGAACTCAGTCCGATTGAGCGCCGTCGCTACTGCCTCCCAGTCGCCCGGTATGGTAGAGCTCCTTGTTTCCTGATTTAATACCGCGAAATTCAAGGCGTAATTCGTAGTAACCCTTAATATTCGAAGCACACAGCCTTTACTTATACGTAAGATATAAGACGCCAGTCGCCTTATAACATTAGCATTCTAATACTTTATATACCTTCTCCTTTTGTAATAAAGACCTTTTTCTTTATAAGCAGCGATAAATAAAGCAAACACTTTTGGGGGTCTCTCGCAACAAGACTCGAGGGTCGTTCTTGCCCAGCGTGCGTGCTTGTGCGCTGGATAGCATGAGTTAGTGGGGCCTATTTTTTGTCAACGACATTTGGCAACCAAGTGGGCCCATTCGCTGACTTGTCTTTTACGCGGGAATCTCTCAAGAAACTTTTCCACGCTTTCATCTTTTCACTTCCAACAAATTCCCCACGATAAGAAAACGACTCACGACGACTAAGGGAGCTTCTTCTTCAGGCAGTCCTGATTTAGTTCTGAAAGAGTGAACTAGTATACTCACGACACTGCTCCAGTTTGTTTTATCATCCAATCCGCATACAGTCAATCTTTTTCTTGTCCGCATATTAGTATAATATAAACTTCATTTTAATCCAGTATAAATTAATTTGCTTAATTCGTGTTTATATCATTTCAAACTTCCCGGTCTCATTGCGTTATTTCTATAGCCAATACAACGGCGAATCCATGACAAAACTCACGGTCCTGAACGGCAAATCAGCGAGGGACTTCAAGGTAACCAGCTCCAGGACGTCACAATACGGAACACATAATCACGGAACACAAACCACTCTTGGTCATAAATATTTCTGGACATCACGTTTTCACCATAGATCGAATCAAACAATTACATTGAAGGAGTCAGCCATAAGGAAAGGAAGGAAGACAGGAATCAACCAATTACGTTTTTAATTTTAAGGGAAAGTTACTAGCTCGATATTTTCTTTCTGTAAATCATAACATGGTCAAAATATAACCTATGCTTCGAATTATTTATAGAATAATTTTTAATATTAAAAAAACTATGTTAATCTTAACTTATGTTTATCGTAAACCAGGCTGAAGATTATTCTACTATAAAAAAATTTGCGTGATTCACGCAAAGTCAATGCACGGTGTGATGTTGCGTGAATCATGCAAAAGCTCATTCGTAATATGTCGCGTGAGGTACGCAGAAGAGTTTGCAAAAATATTGAGTAAGTCACGCAGAAAATCTTATTCCCCTCCCATCGTATCCAACCCCCACTTTCTGTTTACGTGAATCAATCGCGAGCATTTTTCGAGACATGAAAATTTGTTGGGTGACTACAGTGACTTTAGTCTTCACACGTTCACTAGCCACAGCGATAATTATATGCACATCGAACATGAAGGTTTGCATTATTTTATTGACACTTATTGTTAGTTTCTTTGTAATATAGTCTCGTTTTCTTTTATAATAAACTTAATGATGCTTATAATAATAAACTCAATAATTGCGAATAGTTTTGGTAAAGAAATCATTATATTCATAAACTTTACAATCATTCGACCGTGAAAATAATGATTGAATGTAACTCGTAACCTATAAAATATTTTTTTCCAAACATTAATTACGTGATATTTCATTTACGATGATAATTCTACCGTTGAATGATTATGTCTATTGTAACGTGGCGTTACAGAGCTAGAGGGGATACCACCTAGGAATGACCGAAAAATAAATAAATAGGGCATATCAGGTCGGACAGTGGGTTCAATAGCACAGTGGTAAGTGCTCGACTTGGCAGTCCGAAGGTATCGGGTTCGAATCCCGATCAGAACTCCTAATTTTTCGGAAATTCCTAGTTCTCTATTGGTCCCTGGCGGCTCTATGGTTTAAAAATTAATTATAGCGGGGACGAGCCGGGCACCCCGTTATACTATTAATGCACATATGAAATACATATATTGGTTTTTGCCAAGTACATTTAGATGCGGATGTGAGATAAATTCCAAAGAAACTGCTAAGCTAATCGGACTACAATTTATAGAGCATATCAAGTTCTGAATGTAGATGAATCTGCAACATTTACATATGTAGAGCACTTCCAGTTTAAAAATTCCGCAACGACGGATTTATTTATTTTCTTCGTGAAAACGTTTTTTTTGTGTTTTGGAATCTTTAAAGATGGCTTATGTTTTAAAAAAGCATCGATGGTAAAATAATCGATTCAAATTTACACCGATGTTTCTGAATCGATTGATTGTCCAAAACATGAATAATAATTCATGCATCGTTTAATTCGAAAAAGCGTACACTAATTTAAACGCGTGTTGGACTGTATCCCTGAGAAGCCACTTAGGATGTAATAATCAAATGACCGATTCGTGTCGCGTTTAACCATTTAACAAGCAAGATATCACATTCCGTAACATCGTAGTTTGGCACTCAATGTCAAGTAACTATTATTTTTTACAAATAATAATCCATTTGATTCTTTGTAGATCATTAGTTTCCGGATCGTCGATTCTCCACAGTAGGTAAGTATTAATTTTGTAACAAAATTAATATATTTATTATTCTTATAGGTCACCAGGTTTCAGATTGTCGATTCCCAGCAGCAGATAAGTATTATATTCTCCTATGATATAATCTTTAAATTATATCTTTAATTGCAGATCACAGAGTTCCAGATTCCAGATTTTCCAAAATGAAGGTAGGTATTGGTTAATAATAACAATTAGCAGTTTATTTCATACAGAGCTGTACGAAATAATAATATTTGTAATGTTTTGCGTAGAAAGATAACAAAACCTTTTTATTATTACGAGTACATAGAACATGTAATGTTCAAATCTATAATGTAATTTTACTGATTTTTAATTCCAGATTCGTTCATCGACGCCGAGGGTTCCGAGGTTCTGTATCCAAATTTATACCTAGATAAAAACATTATACATCAAAATATTTTACAATGTTGATTGATCTGAGTTTAAGAGTCCATGGAATGGATAAAAACAATTCTGCAGTATACCTAAGCAAATAGTAGTATCATAAAAGCAAGCTCATGCAGATTTAAAACGGGCAATAAAGTGTAGAACACAGAACTGAGATCTAATTCAGTATTTTGCATGTTCTAATTCATAATACGTACCACATATTTTCAATTTACATATATACGTGTACGTTTCCATGACACATATGCCAGAAAAGATAATTGCGTAATAAACTTAAAAAAAAAAGAAACAAAGAGGTTTCCTCTAACAAAGTACAGGCACCCAGAAAACAATTAAATAAATCGTCTGCTGAATCATGCTGTTGAAGGAATACTCCAGTATTTTTTAGAAAGTTAATTCGTTTAATCTTTTTTTCCTGTGAGCCGACTACGATGCTCAACTTCAATAACTCTAGTTTTTTAAAATAATCGTTCACACGGAATGGACGTAGCAACGACACTCAAATATGTTAGAGTACACGGATACAGTTTCGGATTTGCCCATTTTAATATTTTCCAGTATGGGAGAGGGTTTTCGGAACGTGAAATAAAAGGTTGGCTTAAATGTTATTTTGAGTTCAAGATCAAGGTCGTTGTTGTCGGATAGCAGCATTTGAATTTTCTGATATCAATGCGCCTTGAATACTTTAAACACTGGCTTCGTTTACTATCTACGTATTATTTGCAGCATCTTCAGTAACATTTATGAAAGCTTTTTTTTAAACGCAATTTCATTATTGCTGCTGCGCAGAGAATTGGCTTTTAGAAATGAATTTTTTTGAAACGCGGGTCGACTATCATGACAATTGCTCAAATTTCCGAAGCCTCGTAATCTTTGAAACGTCATTCTGATTGCTCTAGGAACTTCATTCGCAGCTTTATTACAGTCTTAGTCGACGGTTTTCATTTGCTGATAGTAACAGTCATACAGCGAATTAATGGTATCGCTAAACTCAATGTTACGTATGAATCACCACTCGCCTCAGTGATCAAGTTTTTTACGGGTTTCAAAAGCAACACTAACTCGCGTAATATGTTAAGTTCTTCGCGCGTTAAAAGGTCAACAGACTCAGAACACTTCAACGTCACTGGATACACGTACTCATGAAGTTGAAAGAATCGCTCGATCATTATAAGCGTCGAATTCCATCTCGTAGGCACCTCTTTTTTAAATTTTCGTAACATCACTTCAGTCTTTCCGTCCCGTAATTGTAATCGACGTAATTCACCCGCTGCGACAACATTACGCTTTGTAAACGTGACAATCTGTTTAACTTTCGTGATCGTTTTTTCGATCCCAGCCGTAGCCCTAATCGAGTCTGGTACAATGTCCGATAGATCATGAGCGAAACACTGGATATGTTATGAAATGCCGAAACTGTCGATGATCGCTTTTTTTATGTTCGCGCCATTATCAGTGACGATCGCAGTAACGGTGTCAGTACCAATGTCGAACAACCGTAGTGCCCCTACCAATCTCTCTTTCAGGGGAAACACTCCCAAGCACACATTATTCATCTTTCTATCCGATAGATATATGTGTAGTTGTGACGTGAATTTCGGAAATTCAGTCACAAAGATTGCTAGGAGTAGGAAAAAGACACAATCCACCTGCAACGATCCTCCAAACGTCAGTCACCCGACATTCCAAAGACGGCTTTGCTTGTCTCGCTTATCGTTTATGCACTCTGTTTCCGCCTATCGTCCTTTCTACTTATTTCTGTTCCGTCTTTCTGCTGTTTTTCGTTTTTATTTTTTATTTTCGAGCTTTCCTATTCGCACTCGCCTACCTTCTTTACCGTCCTGGGCAAATCTACCTCTACACCACGAGCACGAAGCTGACCGCCAACGAGAGTTCCTGAGCTACCGGACGAGCGATCGACAGAGGCTGGACCAAACTGCTGTTCGTTCCAGAGGACTTCCGTGGAGCCAAGGAGACCCGGGATGGGATCCCTCTACTACTTCTGCCGGCCGCCCATACGGACCGCAAAAAGGGCCTTCGCCACTCGTGCCGCCGATAGGAGGAAAGGATAATCCTCTATCGTGCCGCCCAGTCGCCGAACGTTCCCTAGCGCTCCTGTTATCAGTGGCCCCCGGAGAAGAAACCAGGGCCTACTCTTCGCTGGATCCTGCTGCTCGCACCGAGGACTCACGATCGGCCGCACCAAGGATTCCCGCGCTCAGCTCGGCTCTCTCCGCCGATCTTCGGACTCTAGCGCCTAATGCTTCGTCTCTGGCTACCGTCAAGCGTTAGATTTACCTATTCTATATTATTATATTGTGTTATCGCTCTACCGTGCGAATTAGGAATTAATAATTTATGGAGGGGGGCCCCTAGGGCTCTTCCTCTAGCGACGAATTCCGGCTCGTTCACTTACGTTTGGAGCATCTTAGCCAGTGGTTGATTTTAACAATTGTTAAAGTGAACAAAGACGAGCCGAATTCGACTGATTGAAATTGCGAAGCGAAACCAAAGACTAACTGATATCGAGTGGAGGATAGTATATAGAGATGGAAGGAAGGAAGGAAGTCTGAGGACCGATTTCCTCGATCCTATATCTGATATAGTTGGTGAGCACTTTCCGTTACCCTTATTTTGGAGATTTCGTAAACTTATCTGAGTTAATCCCGTCTACGCTCTTTGTCTCGACGGCAAATTTTCTCGCTTACAGGGACTGAAGGTCGTTCCACTCCCTTTAAGTAAAAGGACGATAGTGCCGGATACCGTTATCTTATTTCCCTTTTCTTTTATTATCTTAGAGTACCTATTATACCGAATATATTTTAATTAATTGCGTTCTGCTGTAATTTAGTGCTTTGGAATTGTCGAATATTTTATAAGTTACCGATTATCTTCTCGACCACGTGGAAACACCTAGGGCCCCGGCGTCTCCGGCTTGGCCGTTTCCCGTTGAGTCTGTCTAGTTGTTTTAAGTGAATATCTTTTTGGGCTTTTCTATCTTTTCCGGCGTTATATGTCGCTTGATTATATTGAATTTCAACTCTGAATATTTCTTTTCTCGGCCCTATATTGCTCATGTATTTTTCGATTTCGTTACTAGGAATGGCATCCTCCTCTTTATTTAATTAATATTTCAACTTTTGGAAACTCTTAATTACCGTCTTATTGTAATATTTTTCGACACCTCACGCTGTTGGTCGAGCGTAGAGTCACCTTTTTTTTTGTTGAGTACTCGCCCGAGTCGAGAATACAGGACGTACTGACTATCAGTGGCGTACCTAGTAATAATTTATTTTTGCCGATTATAATATTCTTGTGATAATTTTCGGAGAGCTTGCCATTTCTTTTGACTATGTTTCCCTTTCGTTGTTCTGAGCTTTCCCGCGTTTTCCTCAGAATTTCTAGGATCTCAAGTGCCCTGCACTCACGGTGTTCTCCCCGGAGACCACCTGACGCCCAACACCATTGAGTTTATCGCGTATCGGGACTTCTGAATATCGAAATTCATAGAGAGAGGATCATACGGCGTTTTGTGTACGGTTCCCTACTTTCCGAGTACCTTTTACCGCCTATCTAACTTCGTATTGGGATTTTGGTTTTTGGGGAATAACGTCGCAGTATATTCGAGATATCCAACCAAATGTCGCAGGTTAAAATGATAGAGTTAGCGTGATTCGTCTCACATTTAAGTAAGTCGCGAAGAAGAGCGTAGTTCTCTTCCATAAGCCTCGTAATGGCACGTCCTTCCTTTGTTTTTAACAACGAAGAGAGGACAGTTGTCGGTAGCGAGCATGAATAGTATCGCGTTAGTGATTTTGTCAGCAAAAGACCCTTCAACTATCAACAAAAAATAAAAAATTATCATTAATCACTATACATATACCTATATTTATTTTCACATTGAAAATCATCGATAAATAGATATGTAACACATTACCGTTGAACGAATTACATTCGCTGAAAAGCTGTGTCGATTTTTTCTTCCATGCTGTTTGCTTTAGTCTGAAGAGTTGTCTGAAAATATTTGTTTTTAATAATATATTTAAACTGCTCAGATTTTTCCCTCGTGTTTCCAATTCTGTCGGAGCGGGATCGTCTTCGTTCTCTGCTTTGCTTTTCTTGTTCAATGTTCTTTCAAAATCCGAAATAACTTTCCGCGCTTTGCCCGTGGAGACGGCTAGAGATAGACTGTGTTTTCTATCTAGATGTTGTCTCAACTTCGTCGTGTTTCCACCATGTCTCAGAACGTTCGTGCAAATTTTGCATCTTACACTGATGGAGCTCACTTTAGTAAAACTGTTCCACACCTGATTTTTCGTTTTAGAGACACGTTTTTGCAGCATGTCTTTTTTGTAATATACGTAATGTTATTATCCACGTAATAGTATATTACGCAACTAGGAAGTAAAATAGGGCATTTCAACCCGTACGTGAGATTGTCACCCAAGTCGCAGGAGAGGGTGTCAAACACGGGGGGATTGTGATGGACAACTTCCCTCCCTAGTTGTATATACTATTTTTGCGACATCTGTACGGAAAATTCGAAACCCTGCTCTGTTTAGCGAGGAGAACGTAGCATTTTTCTTTAAATCAGCCTGTTTTTGACAAGACGGGAGCGGTGCTATTTTCTTCCCGCTGAACGGAATAGGGAATCCAACTTTCCCGAAGGTACGGTAAAAAACTTTTTTTTATAATATTTTTATAAAATTTTAGTTGTACGTACGGATATGAGTTGGGAGTTCATAATTGAGATTGAGATTGACGATGAACCAGTGGCAAACGAGGCTGAAAATGATGACGAAGTGTGTGGCCGTGATACTGAGATCGACGACGAAGTGGTGGTTCTGCCCGCATAGCTGAGACAGACATAAAAGTGCTAGACAACGAGACTGAGATCGATGACGGAGTGTCGGACAACACAACTGAAACTTGCGATGATCTATTGTCCAACGAGACTGAGATTGGAGACGACGCCGTACTGACTAACAGGACTGAAAACAATGACGGATTGTGCGAAACGTCAAAGCGTACTGATATAAATTGGATGTGATACAAAAATTATAAATAGATTAATAGTAAGTAACAATTTATGCATAAGAAATTTAAAAAAAAAACCAATGC